GGGAGGGAGGAAGGCCCATGAGGTGCAGGAAATAGGGATTCCAGACCAGGAGGAAGGCACAGGCACCCCCGGGTGATGGCCGTGCAGCACACCTAGAAAGCATGTATCCTAGTAAACACATTAGGAGTGACAGAGCGCTTAATACGATTGACTTTGTGGGAAATTGTACTGTCAGGCCATCCGAAAATGCGGGAAGAATTAGCAACAGGTGCAAAGAGAAGCAAGCATATAAAAACAAAGCAATTATTTATTTCGGGTAAAACAGAGGAAACAAAATTATAGTAAACTTCAGTGCCTGGCTGTTAATGATATTTAGACAGACATAATAATGTCAACACTGAATATCTGCTTATCTGAACATTCAGTGATGAGATGGTACAGCCACTGTGGAAAATAATATAGTAGTTCCTCAAAAAAACAAAAATAAATTTAATATATCACCCAGCAATTCCACTTCTGGGTATATACCCAAAAGAATTGAAAGCAGGGTCTCAAAGAGTTATCTGTACACCTACGTTCATGACAGCACTATTCACAACAGCTAAAATGTGGAAACAACTCAAGTGTCCATCAATGAATGGATGCAAAACAAAATGTTGTATATACAAAGGACACAATATTATTCAGCCTTAAAAAGGAAGGAAATTCTGACAGATGCTACAACATGGATGAACCTCAAAGACATTAAATCACTAAGTATTATATGCCAGTCACAAAGGGACAAATACTGTAGGATTCCACTTATATGAAGTACTTAGAGTAGTCAAGTGCATAAAGATAGAAAGTTGAATGGTGGCTGCCAGGAGCTGGGGTGAGGGGAGAATTGAGAGTTAAGTGTTTAATGGATGTGGGGTTTCAGTCTACAAGACGGAGGGATGTGGGGATGATGGTGGTGATGGTTTTGCAACAATGTGAATGTATTTAACACCACTGAACTGTATAATCAAAAACAGTTATGATGGTAAATTATATGCTATGTGTATTTTACCACCATAAAAAAGTGGAAAAAAATCAGTGATGAGGAAGGGAAGGGAAGAGAATAGAATGGTGGCACAGGACAGCTATATCCTAGGTACATATTTACCAGAATACGATGCCCACAGACAACGTCTCACACTGATGAGTTGGAATACAATGGCACACAGTACTCATTTTATTTAGAACATGAAAATGTACAAATGACATCAGGAGAAGCTGAAAGAAGAGAACGTAGTTGCCCCGATGGAGGGGAATGGTGGTGAGTAGTGAGAGAATTACAATATTCTGTTATAAACCTTTCAGTAATTTTTAAATTTGGGGTAATCATGTGCCTATATTTCTTTAATTTTTAAAATTTAGAAGTTACCTACCAGAATTTGGGTGGTTCCTTTTGTTCGTGGTTTTATCTTCCACCTAAGCCTGCCCACATTTACAATTTTTAAAACATTAGAAATAGCCAAATAAAGGCTGTGCAAAACATCAAAGGAGTACACATGTGCAATTAATCAACCATAAACTGATGATTCTTATTTTAAAAACACTCTTATAAAATTTAATAATTATAAAACTTAGTCAAGTCACACACATTCATTTTACATAATCAGTATCCTTTATTTTTAAGAATTTTCATATGCACATAATAGGTTATGTGGCAAACAGCTAATGTAAAAACAGATCATTATACATTAGTTCTATTAAAACCTAAAAATGCCCAGTCCAGAGATAAATATGCAAATGCCTGAGAGCCCCATGGGTGAAGTCAGAGGATTCCTTAAACACAACAGACAATCATACACCCAGCAAGCATCCAGCACCAGGCTAGCAGGGAAGGTGGAAACCGAAAGTGATGCGCAAAAGGACAAATTATCTACTGGTCATCAGTGGGAAAAGAGATTCTGCTTTAAAAATATTCACTTTGTAGGAAAATGCAGAAAACAACTGTTAGATGATGAAAGAAAATTCTACTTTGTCAGTTAGGAAAGGCAAAG